GTATGTATTGATTTTTGGGGGAATTTCTGTAAGAAAGCCCTGGAAGTAGGGGTGAGCATGGTCCGGATTGGATCGGATTGGGGTAAAACCAGGACCAATCCGTTATTTACGGTTCTTAAAAAATTGGAACCAATCCAATCCGTTTAAATCATAGGACCAATCCGATTGCTCTGCTCTGAGAAGTTAAAACTGTTTTCTGATCAAGTAGTTATTTCCTTAAAAATGTTCTGAATATTTTTCATACTTTTAAATGAATAAGATTGTATTTTTTTTTAGATGGTGAAATAAGATTGTATTGAAGTGTGCTTTTTCAATCAAATAAGAGTAGTGTTGGGAAATAAATAAATGGAACTACAAATCAAAATAGCTCAGGAAGAAAATTATATATCTCCAGGATGGGATCAGCAGTATCTGTTAATTTATCATACTGTGAAACTAATTAGATGTCTTAAAATTTTGTTTTTTTATTTTTTTTGTTTTTTTTTCCTGTTTTCATCCCATCTTTTTCGTTGTTAGGCTTGTAGTCTTCTGCAGTTGAGTTATCTATTTGCTACAAGGGAAACAACTAGGCTAAAAAGAATCTTAGTCTAAAGGAACATAGAAATTGCATGATGAACTGATAGATTTGGAACCATGGGGTTCAATCCGGAACCAATCCGTGAATTACGAATTTTTAATTTTTCAATCCGGAACCGAACCACGGATTCAAAAAACCAATCCAAACCTATCGGATTGGACTGGACTGGATCGGATTATGGATTTCACGGATTCCTTGCTCAGCCCTACCTGGAAGCAAAATCCATAATGATTTGTTCAGTTGGAATTGAAAACAACAAACTGTAAATAAAAAATTATTTATATAAGACCCCTATCATCTTGGGATTTAAGGGAAAATTTAGTTTCGATGGATCCTTCACATAATATATATATTGATTTTTAGTAACTAAACTTCCACCCATTATATGAAAATTATGCCTTTAATGTTTTTGTTGGTGTCCCTTGTCCTTTTCCATTATGCATTGCACCGTTACATTATGTCATTTTATTTTATGTAAAAGCTAATGTGTTTGTATTGTTATATTGTTTTCCAAATATCATGGACCACTTCAAATTATTATCAATTAAACTTATGTTTATATATATTTATAGTATTATTAGTTGGACTCCCACGCGCGGAGCGCGTGGGAGTCTATTGTAAAGTGTTATCTGAGTCTGTATCAAAATCTTAAGATTAATGAAGTAGCTTATATTTTATGTATGTAGCATCAAGTTGATTAAACAAAAAATATAAATAAGAGCTCTCTATGGCTAATAGGTTATTTGATTTTTCATTTTTCCATTTTATCAAATTTTGCTGCATTTTGGTTAATTATTACTAGAATTTCTAAATTCACCTGCATAAGTTCATCTCACTTGTAGGATTAAACTATGGGTCAAGCATGGGGTGGCATTCAAGTGGATCAGTCTACAGTTGCTGTTAGGGAGCATTTTGGGAAGTTTGATGATGTGCTTGAGCCAGGGTGTCACTGCATACCGTGGTATTTTGGGTACAAGTTAGCTGGGAAATTATCATTACGTCTTCAACAGCTTGATGTTCGCTGTGAAACAAAAACTAAGGCGTGAAGTTTCTCTATATATGACTATCACTAATTGGCTTTCACATATGCTTATTTGTGCTTCTTCAATTTGTTAAATCAAATGCAAGTAGCATCAACTTGCTGAAAAATTTTAATGTCCAAATGTTCAAAAATAAAATATAAATAAAAAGAAAAGAACCAGAAAAAGATGACATAGGCAGGAAACCAGACTGGATCACCTATATGATGTTTGCCTCAAACTTTTGGTAATCTATCAGATCATTGTAACATGTCTTCCAAATAAGACAAATTATCATTGTTCTACTTATCCAATGTCCATTGTTTGAAGTAATTTAATTATGAAATGGAAAATGATATACAAGTTAATTTTCTAGACCCACTTTCTAGACCCAATGATATGTAAGTAAGATGATTGATTGATAATTAGAGAAGATATGAGAAATAGTGTTGCCTTAGATATTCTAAGGCAATGGCACATCATTGGGTTTGAAAAGTGGGTCTAATTTTTGAGCCCAAGTGGCATCACCCGAAATGAAATAGGTCCTTATAAATTTTCTCCTTAGCTATTCAGTTATTATGGTGCATACTTTTTATGTTATCCAGTTAAATCATGAATTGTTCTTGAACCAAAAATAACCATGAAACTGTTTTTGTTCTGGTGGTTCATGAAGAAGTTGAACTCTTAATATAAACAGTTGAATATCTGCTTGCTTACAATGTTTGTTGCAGTGCAAAAGGAAATCATGATTTCGTAATGAATTTTCGGAATAGTAAAATTGACTTGAAGTTTATCAATTGTCTTAGGTGATTATATCTTGAAGATAACAGTCAGTTTACCGTATAGAATTCCATTGTGTGCGCTCTTTTTAGTGACATGCTTGTAGTTGTGTATGTAGTTGACTATTTGTTTATGGTGCTTCAAGAAAATGATTGACTTCATTGTTTTTATGCAATATTCTGAGTTAAGGCTGAAAGATTTCCTAAATCTTTGTAATACATATTTTCTGCCCTTTCCTTAAAATGCTTCACTTTGGTGTGTGCTTCAGCACCCTAGCATCCACAGTTGTATTGTCATATACGTAGCGAGAAAAAAGAAATCATATTTATTCAGCTCTTTATACAAGTGCATCTTTGGTTAATATGTACAATTACTTTGGATAAAATTTTCATTTGGTAACTGATGTCTTATATAGATATCATCTGCCTTCCTATGTAGTTCTGCCTTTTTGTTCCTTCAACCTATCAGAGTTGCTTTGCTTTCCTTCTCTTAGACTATTTTCTTTTCCTCTTTATTTCTTTGTTTATTATATGGGGAATACTCCGCGTAATTTACCTCTTTAGCTTACTTTTATTGCTTCTCCCTTTTCATTGAAATGCTTTTTTATTTCAACAATAAATCAAGGAGTGATGTGGACAATTGTTTGCATACTGGTGCCATCAGTTCATAAATTGCGAGTATTGTTTTTTTTTCAGGATAATGTCTTTGTCAATGTGGTTGCATCTATTCAATACCGTGCTTTGTCAGGAAAAGGAGCTGATGCTTTCTATAAGCTTTCCAACACCAAGGTGCAAATCCAAGCCTATGTTTTTGATGGTATGGATGCAGCTTTTATCATCTTTGTTTCGATGAAAAAGTTTCCTGCCAAGGTACCAACTGATATTTAAAACATTGTGGAACACATGTCAAATGGCTCAATGAGTTTTCAAAACATAAAGCAGATCCAGTGCTGCTGAACTTGAGGTTTTGAAAGAGAGTAGATTTAGGTCCAAATATTCTTTGTTCTGCTAATATTAGTTGTAGTTTCAGTTTCTCGTAAATTTGTAATGATACAATGAAATAGGTTGGGGAACTAGCTGCAATGCCACATTCACCCCTCATCTCTGGCATATATCTGCCCCGTCCCTTTATAGCTTAGTTTTTTTTTTTTTCGTCTTTCTTTTTTCTTTTAATTGTAAACATGATGCATTGTGCTGGGTAGAATTGTTTATAGTACTGGATTAACAGTTGAAATTTGTATTGAAAGTAATGGGCTACCCCTCCTTCGATCTGTTCAGTTATTAGGGCAAGTGTACCAAAGTTGGACTTGGACTCTGCTTTTGAACAGAAGAATGATATAGCAAAAGCTGTGGAGGAAGAACTTGAAAAGGTGACTGAAAAACAAGTTGGATTCCTAGGGTATTATCAGAAAAGATAATAACTCAAAAAATATGTTAAGAAATTTATCTCGAAAAGTGAAGTGTTTTGATTCAATTTTTGTACAATGAGATCTACACTTAATCTGAATTACACTAGACTTTTTTTTTAGATTAATTTTTTAAGTCGATAACATTGTTATTATATTATTAATAATAATTAAAAAAAAAAGATGCTTATAAGCTTAGTTGTGTGTGCAGTCTTTTGAGGATGCATGGAAGGCTACGTGCTCGGCAAGGGAAGTTTCAGGTTTTAGTCCAACCATGCACGTTCTTGATAGCTATAAGTTCTTGCTACAACCTGTAATCTTTAGTGGCCCTTGCAATTCCGAAGCCGTTAACGTCGTGGTAATTACAATTTTAGATTCATAAATTTTCTCATATCATATGCCATCATTATAGGTCAAATTATTTTATGCGTCTCAAATATTTTATTAAAATTTTTGTACAACTAAAATCATTAGTACAAATAATTTGAAATATTTACTTCAATATTGTGGGCTTATACTGGCCCAATAATAACACGGTACAATCTTTCTTTTAACTAGAAATAAGTTATCCTATCCTACATTTCAATATTTTCATTTTTCTCTTATTTATTTATTTTTAATATATTGTTATTGAATTGTTAAATTGATATGGTTTATTATAGATAGGTGGAAACCTAACAGCACCAAGTCATCCTTCAAAATGGAAGTGCGACAGAAGTAACTGCCAATGGATAGGATTTACTGAGATCAATGGTCTCTACATTTATGGCTCTGGTACTATTAATGCCCAGGGTACCAAATGGTGGGGTTCCTCCAATGTCAATCACACTAGAAAGGCAAGAAGCCTCCTCTCTCACTTCATTTAATTATTTTTAAAATAATTATCACTGTCACACCATTTTAATTTAAATTTGTTGTACAAAATAAGGGGTGGTTTGGCATCCTCTATATAATTCATCTTTTTCATCTTTTTTTCATCACATCACCTCTCTACTTTTCTGCACATCTTTTCGTAAAAAGACAAAAAAATACACTTATTTAGATCATCCCAAACAACCTTTAAATATTAAATCCTTTTTTTTTTTGGGCTTTACTAATATAAGTTTCTTTTCTTCTTTTCAGTACCATGGGTCAAAACCAACAGTGAGTGACACTAGATCCTTTGTTTTTAAATTATTTTTTTCCTATGTTTACATTGTAAGTACTACATAATGTTTCGAAATAATATTTTTGAAAACATTTAATAATTTTTCATGTTTTTACAGGGGTTCGTAATAGCACATTCCAACCATGTGCATATAAGTGACCTAACCTTCATAGACAGCCCTCAAATGCATATGGCGTTGGAAAGGTCGACATGGGTATATGTTTATAATCTCACCATCACTGGCCCCGGCGATAGCCCAAATACTGATGGCATACACATTCAACATTCCACACATGTCTTCATAAGCCAAACTCACATTGGGACTGGTATATTATCAAACATAGTAATACTATCTCTCTTAATTTTATACCGTGTGACCCAAAAAAAAAAAAATTTATTGTGCAAGATCTTTTGTTTTGAGATTCCTACATAATTCTACCATTGGAAGCATTTTGCAATGATCCAAAAGATTTGGAACTAAAAGTCGATGCATGGCGCTTTACATATGTATATTTTAATTTGGTTGTTTATCAAATTTTAAGTCAAAAATATTAATGCAGGTGATGATTGTATTTCCATCGGAGATGGTTCATCATATCTCAGCATTAGCATGATCACATGTGGACCAGGTCTGGCATAAGGTAACATGAAAGACCTTTTTACAATTCCCTCTATCTTTTGTTATTGTTGTTATTATTTTGAAATTGATTTCATTTATTTTTAAATTCCTTCTTTGGTAAAAGTATTGGAAGTTTAGGTATAAAAGAGCAATATGAGACAGTAGAGAATGTCTATGTAAGCAATGTGGAATTCAGAGGAACTTCAAACGGAGCAAGAATCAAGACATGGCAGGTAATTTGTGAACACATGATTATTAGAGTCATGATATCAAGAATATAATATATGAGGCAAATTTGTAAGCTTATCACTTTAATACAAAAAAACTCAATGCCTATTAATATCAATAATGTCATTGTTATATTATTTGATAAATAACTATTTTTCTCGTTAGTTTTGTTGTTAATTATATTGTCCCTTTGGCATGCTTAGGGAGGGAGCGGATTTGCTAGGACAATTGTGTTTGAGCATATAAGATCCATTGGTTCAGTTCATCCCATCATCATCAATCAATACTATTGTGACCACACACATTGCAAAAATCAAGTGAGCATTTCTTACTCTATGACTATGACTCTTTTTTTAGTTGGATTTTTTAGTTTTGTACTCAAAAATAGTAATTTTTTGATCTTTTCAAAATACATTAATCTAACTTAACATTGTGATTAATGTAATTAACTTTCTCAGAAATCAGCCATGCAAATTAGCAATATCAGATACAGTTATATTTACGGGACGTCGAAGGAAGATACAGCGATACACTTTGCATGCAGTGAGACAGTTCCATGCAAAGATATTGTGTGTGTCAATTTTCGACCACACTGCCAACTTAGTACTCAATTGGAGAACACCGGCAGAATAGGTTAAGCCCGAACGACCTGCAACAGAAAGAAGAGTTTTAGGCGGTGGCTCGTCCACTTGGGGGTACTCCGACGATTAAGTCAGTACTCAATATCTCTCAAAGATAACCAATAGTACTTAACTCACTAGGCAGAGTATCAAAAGCATACCTTAGACCCATGGGGTGCCTCCCTTTTATAGCCAACACAATCCTAGTCCCAATAGGAGCCTAGCTCTAATGGACTTAGGATTACTGCTAATCTTGGACTCCCAGTAGGATTAGGATAAACTCTCTAAGAGTCTCATCTTTACCTAAACTGAAGTCTTCTCTCATTCTAGGACTCTTGTCCCTTATCCGCTTATCTCGGATTTCGGTATTCTCGTAGATAACCTTGGCCTAGCCGAGATTACCTCAGCGTCATAACCAGGACACGTGGCACCTCGGCTGGCACTTCGGTGACACCTCGGCCACGTGTTGTCATTCAAAAATTATGTCCCCACAATTGCCCCCTAGGTTCTATTACCTCGGCACCCTGAAGTGATGGAACCTATATTATTCCTTCCTTTAATCATGACCCCGGTTTAACTTCAACTTGTAAATTTTTCTCAAGTTTCAACAAGTGTTAAACATCATCTGTAAGGCCCCGGTGTCCCACATCGGGAATGGAGGGGGA